TTTCTGGCACCACTCAGGAAAGGGACCACAATCGTCCCTGCTGTCCAAGACCCTAAACCTATCCGGGTTCTAGCTACATAAGCTACTTCCGCGGACCCAGTCTGGAGGGTTAGTATTATGGGGATCCTAGCCACCCACACATTGGCATCTAATCATAACCTTATCTCTGACATTTCTCTTATTCTCTTGTTCTGGGTTCCTTAATGTGAAGTGCACCCTGGGCAGTAAGTAAGGACTCAAAGCCAGATGCCTTAGAGTATTACTTATCCCCTGGTAAGTAGGATTATGCAGAAAAATTAGGAGCAATTCATATATGCACAACAAAGGATGGAAAGGAAACTTTATCTCAAGATCTGGAACAAAAAGAACTCCAATCTGTTGATCAATGCTTATGATATATGTTACTGGTATTCACAGGGTTAAAATTGGGTAGAGGAATTTACAAAAAGAGGTCCTTGGTCCAGCCCCAAATACCGCTTTGGCCCTGGATGTCCACACTGAGTATTGTTACCACCTTCTCCCAGTTTCTCAGGCCCAAATTTGTGCTATCTTATTTCTCTCTCCCCTCACTATTTTGAGTCATTCGCAAAGTATTCCACTGCCAATTGCATGCCTAATCCAAACACTGGGGCTTTCAGAGTGTAGGACAAACGCAGACAGGAAATGAGTGTATAAGACAGGGGTGGGAAAGAACTTTGATTTGGAACATTATGGTTAAGATGTATTATGGTGTAGGGCAGGCTGGATACTAAGTCTGGAGTTCAGCATGGGATGTTTGTGTGTTCTATGCATGTGTGTACATGTGTGTGAATGAGGGAATTTGAATATGCTTTATAATTAATTTAATGTAACTATTTTAGTTTTTAATTGAATTTTAATTAATTTTTATTTAATTTGGAGATTTATTTAATTTTGAATGTATTAAAATAAGTCAGATAATTAAAAGATTAATTAAATAAAATTAAATTAATAAGCATTAAAATTAGTATATTAAAATAATTTCCGAAATATATTTCAAAAAATAAATTTGGTTCATATCTTTTGTGAAATTCCTGAAGTATAGTTGTAGAACTTGCATGGAGGCTCAGTTGTAAAAAACTTGGCATACTGTTGCTAAAAAGTACTATGTGATACAACTATTCACCAACCAATTGTTGAGTGTGATATGGGGCAAAAAACCCAATAGGATTTGCCAATATATGGCCATTAACAGAAACTTACTAATATTATTATTTGTATTCTCTGTGGGGGTGAATCCACTTCTCAGAAAAGTATCTAATTTCTTACATTGTTTCAATAAGCTGATGTGAACCATCAATTGGTGAACAGGTACTCTTGTGGGAATGTGTACAGGAGGGACAGATCACTCACTCCCTTTCAGGGGGTCATATTGGCACAGCCCAAAGAAGGGATTTGTGTGATGTGCAAGTTGTCATTGATGTACCTTTTAAAAATAGTGTCACTGACCATATCACTTAAAATAAATTAACCTTCCTATCTTGGACTGACTCACGTTTTTGGAAACATGCAACTTCACAATGCCAGTTGGTGGTATGAGGAGGGCTGAGGTAGGGGGTGGAATGCACCAGCAAGGAGAGGCAGTATCACGGGGCTTTTCGTAGTTACTAGCAGAGTAGTGCAGAGGTTTATGAAGCATAAGCCAGGTATTTACCAGGCTGGGATGTAATTCAACTCTGTTGCTTTCTAGATGGGCAGGACTTAACCATGGTCCAAACTCAAGTACGGAGACAAACGATGATAATAGAGAAGAATTATTAACTGGTCTGTTGTCAAGAACTTAATGGAGCTAATGGTTGCAAAATATTTAGAATAACACCTTGGCGCATAGCCAGCTTTTTATGAATGATAGTTCATCATTATTGATAACTTCTAAAACTAAAAAGTTGGTCTTTGCAATATCTGATGAGGTTCAATGGAGAACTCAGCGGATCTCTCTCTCGCATCTTTTTTACATCCAATTCTTTTAAATTAGACATGATTTTTCTCCAGGAAGGCATGTTCTGGGAGGACATGGTTTACAAGTTGTGGGCTGGGACTCGCACATCCAGAGAGGCGTACTTTGACGTGAGCCTGGAGGCTAGACACAGAGACACGCTTTGAGCAGAGATGATTTCGTTTGTCAACCTGCCTCTTAATTGGTTATGCAGGAGGCAGGCACCTACACCCCAGATTTAAGGCTGGGCCACAGACAGCCCTAGTGAAAAATGAGCCTCCAAAATCATTAAATCTTCGCAGTTGGAAACACTTACCACTGCACATCTTGAACCACATACATTTTCTTCTTTCTTGGCTGTCACGTGGCCTTATTAGGCTTTCTATTATACGTTTCCCCCCAAGTCGGCTGTTTTTATTTAGTGGTTCCTCACATCACCCAATGTGAAAGGTGAAGCACACAACAGTCCATATTTTATAACAAGGGAAACCAAGGACAAGTCAGCCTAGGTGTGGGTCTTGGCCAACGGCACCAGAAAATGAAGCCCTGGAACTCGTAACTGAACCAGAATGTCTCATTTGAGTCATGGTTGACTTGATCAAGGAGAATGTTTCTCACAGAGGATCAGAGCATTCAAAATAATAAAGCAAAAATGATGTCTCTTCTCTGCCTTAGAGTAAAAATACTTCAATGGGGTCCATAAGTGTGTAGCAGGGAGAGAATCAACTTTAAAATCGAATCCTGATCAAGTCCCTTTTCTATGTAATACTTCTTTCTGGTTCTTCAATATCCCAGGATAAAAGTCACCTGTCTATTAGAAGACACCATGTGGCCTTCTCGTGCTCCTCTGCCTCCGCCTGCCAGCTCGTCACTCACTTCTTCCCATCCGTCACACCGGCCACAACTGAAGACTTCTCGTGTTTAAAGGGTTCCTTTAGCACATAAAAATATAAAAAGAACCTTGCTCATCTCGTTTTCCTCTCCTTAGTTATAAGTCACATTTTCCAAGAAATGTCCCTAGATTTCTCAAGGCCTGGATTAGTTTGGTCTTTCTGTGCACTTCTATACTACATGCAATTTAATTACCCATGATCTCGCTTAAAACCCATATCTTATATCTCTTAATATCTTTTTTTTTCCTTTGAAGTGTGCGTGGGTTTATTTGTTTATTTTATTTTAGTGTATTATGGGGTACCAGGTGTTAAGGGTTACACTGTAATTGCCCATGGCCCCCCTCTTCCCCCCCTCGAGTAAGAGCTTCAAGTGTGTCCATCCCCCAACGGTTGCACATCTCACTCATGTGTTTGTATATTACCCTCTTAATATCTTAATATCACATCTCCCATGGCCTGTTATATGTTGAGGACCAGTAATTACATCTGCCTCATTGTCTGATCCCGAGTTCCTAGCATAGTGCCTGCAAACAGTAGAGAGATATTGTAAATGATTTTTAATGGTAATGAATGAGCAATATCCCTTGTGATTTAACATTTTCATAATTATAAAATTAATGCCCTTACTGCCAGACTCTGTGATAAAATATAGAAGTGTAATAAGGTTATGGTTTGATACTATTGACAGTGGAATTGCGCTGGCAACATGCCAGGAGGAGGTAAGGGTGAGCTATGAAGCTTACTAGCATGCGTGATGTGGCTTAAGATATCCCTCATCTTGGTTTCTTGATCTTTAATAGGTCTATACAGGTGACAACATAGTTATCTAAACTGGTACAAACTTTGATACTGGAAGTGGGGCACTGACGATAATGTATCCTTTGACCATCCCAGCAGTGTGGTCACTCTAGGCATATGATTACCCCTAAGGTGCTGTTAGTCCTGAGCTAAATCCCTACTTTAGCTGATCCATCTAATGGGCTCAAAGCTGCTGCTGGGTGAAGAAATCACACAGTTGCACTGACTGAAACAGCTAAGGGACATGTAGCAGTCACTTTGCAACATATGGCTTGACAATCCTCTCCTGAAGTAGCTCTAACATAGTGGTGGTGTATGTCAGTTGACAGTAGCAGGTGAGAGAGGCAGTTAAGCAGTAGTTCACTCCACCCAGTTAAAAGTTTTGGCACCTGGATTTGAACATGAAGGATGCTAACCAGGGAACTGAAAGATTTCCAGATCAGCCGAATTGCTCAAAGCTGCCCAAGTTGGCCTGAGAACCTTCCTTTGTGAGAGAGAT